CACGGGAGGGTGGAGGGGATGAGCCCTGAAGTCCTCTGCAGCACTGAGGTAGCCCTGGGAGCAGGGATGCTGGCCAGACCGGGATGTCCTCTGGACAGGGATTACTGGAGAGGGATCTGCTCTAGGCAGAGATGGTGTCCAGAAAGGAATGTCCCTGGAAAGGGACACTCTCTGGGCAAGGACGCTCACCAGACAGGCGTGCTCTTCAAGTGAGCCCTCTCCCATGTCATTCCCTGCAGACAACACGCCGGGATCGCTGGACCATGCAGTGCTGGCTGTGGGGTACGGGGTCCTGCAGGGAGAGACCTACTGGCTCATCAAGAACTCCTGGTCCACGTACTGGGGCAATGACGGCTACATCCTTATGGCCATGAAGGACAACAACTGTGGTGTGGCCACTGAGGCCACCTACCCCATCCTGGCCTGAGCCCCCCTGGCTCTGCAGGGAAAGCCCTGGGCAGCATTCTCAGCACTCAGCCCTGGACCAGGCCCTTCAGTGGAACCACCAGGAAGCTGGGGACACGGTGGGACAGACCCATTCAGTGCTGGGCACAGGGCAGGACGGGGACACAGCACTGGGCTTGCCAATAAAGACACTGGAAAAATACTGCATGGCTTCTACAGGAGCGGTTCAATTCTGCCCACACAGCTGTGCCCCCTGTGCCCCAGGGACACATCCTGTACAGATCCCTGTCCCCAGCCCAGTTTCTGTGGTCCTGTGGGACCTTAGGGGCCTCCTGGGGAGGGGACAATCCCACCTGGCAGAGCCAGCTGGCTCCCACAGCAGTCCCAGACACCCGGGGCAAGGGGAGAGGCTCTTCCAGCTCTGAGGTGGAGCAGAAACAACCCCTGGGATTTCTGCTGAGATGAGAAATTCCTGGCGTGGGGTGCTGGGGAGGGGGAAGGCCTCCACCCTGTGCCCCCTGCCAGAGTGCCTGTTGTGGCTCGGGGTGGGGGCTTTGTCACCGGTGTGTTTGCCAATGTCCCCAGCCAGGCACCTTCACTCCCGGGGGCTGCTCCCCTTTTTCTGTGGCTGTGGCTCCTCTGGCTGCTCTTATTTTGGGCTCAAGCCCTCCTGGAGAGCAGGATCAGTGCACAAGGGTACTAAAACAGGGTGGGAAGTTCTCCCTGCCACGATCCTGGTAGTCTCCCATCTTTTTGTGTGGGGTGCACAGGGGCTTTCGGGGTGCTCCTGAGCTGGTCACGCCCCAGAGCTGTCATGCTCCTTTCATCTTTTCTTGCTCCAGAGCTTCACCCCAAAACCTCACAGCCACGAAGAAGCCTCACCACGAGCTGAGAGTCTGGTGCTGTTCTTGGGGCGTCCAGCCTACAGGTCAGCACAGTTCTGAAGGTTCATTGTGGGGGTTCTGGTGCTGTTCTGGTGATGTCCACCCTGGGCATGGAGCTGGGTTGGCAGCTACTGTGGGCAGCCCAGGGCTCCCAGTGAGAGCTGCTGGCACTGCCAGGCTCTACTTCCCAATTCAAGAGCCCAGTCAGCAGCAGGCAGCTGGGGAGGGAAACCTAAAAGAAGGGAAATGTCATCCCTGACTTGTAGCTGCATCTGCACAAGTTCTACCTTCCCTCCAAATGTGGTTTTGGTGGTTAAGAAGTGACATCTCCCATGGCTACGCCCCAGTTCTGCATAGAAAACTACTGGCAGCACCTAGGGAGCTGCACTTCCCTCCAGGTGACACAACTGCTCTCATCAGTGCTGGCAGGTCATCATATTCCCTTGTTTTCTTTCACTTGTGCACCTGCTTATTTGACAATTTGCTGATTGTTGAAGGGGTCTTTAATCATTCCCAGCAGGGAGGCTGGCTGGAATTCATGTCTGGGAGAGGAATGATCACTGCACAGGAATAATGTGGTTTATTCCGTGGGAGTCCAGGTCTCCAGATCTTTGATTCTCTTGACTGCAGTCAATAAAATATGCTTTGACTTTCAGAGAACCATGACTTTCAGGCTCCCTTTGGGTAGGTGATGTCCTGAATTTGCTGCTGAACACAGAGGTGGCTTCTTTGAGAGCTGGAAGTTTTGTATCCCCTGGATGTGTTCTCTGAAATTCTGCATTCATGGCATTAGGCATATCGCAGTCCTGAGCGTGGGTAGCTCAGATGGCTGGGAACTTGCAAAACTATCTATTTTTTATATTTGAGAAAGGAAACAATAAGAAAGGACATACCTGAAGGAGGGTTTGCTGTTTGCAGAGCCAGATGTAGGTTCTGGCTCCCAGCCCGGCTGAGCTGTGACCTCCAGACTTCCCTGGACACCCAAACCTCAGAGTGGCTCCAAGTTTTGCAGAGCACAGCAAAGCGCAGGCACTCTGAACCCTGCTGTTTATTGGAAGCAAAGCTGGCCTGAAGCTCAGCATTTAGTTTCCTTTCGGGAGAGGCATCTTGCAGGAAACTCCCCAAACTTGATCCACTGGTGGCGGAATATTAGCAGAGGCTGGTGTTTAGTGGAGCAAGCACTGTTCAGAGTGAGAGCTGGGAGGATTTGAGACCCACTTTCCGTATCCCACCGTGAGAACCCCATCTCCTTCTTAGTCTGTGGGGTGGTTTGGGAAATCTGAGGTCAGGACTGGTGGTAGCCCTCAGTGGCTGGTTTCCAGTCCTGCCCCCATCCTCTATTAGGTGTTTGTTATGGTCTCCACTCCTTTAGGGTCTCCTCCTTGTTCAGCTGCTCCTTTTTGGCCTCTGCCAGCTTAGACTGGGCAGAGGTGACACCTGCCTGCACACTGAGCCCTTTCGAGGCTGTCCAAGCCAGTGGTGGCTCATGCTGGAGGTGGAAGCCTTCCTGGCCACCTCCCAGGCTTTCCTGGTCCTGCAAACAAGTTGTTAGTTCTGCCTGATGCTCTCCTGATGCTTCTTTAGGAAGCGATCCACGAAGATGCTCACCAAATGACTGTCAGTATCACCACCCAGGTGAGTGACCCCACCTCCACAGTGTCCTGGTTTATGACGAGATGGAGATGCTGACAGTCCTCATGACCCACGTTAAAGGTGAGGACACTGTGCTCCCCATCAGGGTCGTGCAGGCTGTGGAACAGGGCTGTGGCATCTCATTCTGCACTGAAAGGGTGGTCAGGCATTGGAAGGGGCTGTCCAGGGAGCTGGTGGGGTTCCCATTCCTGGAGGAGTCCAAGGAATGACTGGGCATGGCACTGGTCTGTGTGACAGGTCAAAGTGTGGACCTGATGATCTCAGAGGTCTTTTCCAGCTCTGATCCTGAGATGCTGTGACTGGAGCCCCTCAGCACAGCAATTACCCTGGCTTTGAGAGCTTCTGAGATAAGCTGACAGCAGGGATGATCCTCTCTCCTCCAGCCGTGCATCAGCTCAAGCCTGGGATAGGCATGGCCACCTCAGGGTGATCTTAGCTCCATGCTGGGCTCCAACCCACCCACCCAAGGCCAGGCAGGACATGGGGAGTGGGGCAAGACGAAGGTCACCACCACAAACAGCTCCTGGGAGGAACTCTGTTTCCAGTGAAACAGCTCCTCTGTGAGTGAGAGCCTCCAGATCTGTGGGATCAATCTGTCCACACATCCACAAACTCAGGGTGGGCTGAGTTTGCCAAGCTAAATTATTCTCCAAGGAAGGGCGGCTGGGATTTCATCTGGGTTTGGTTTTTTGCCCTGCCCTCGGCTGTCCTGGATACGGCATTTCCCTCCGGAGGCAGCTGCGCTCCGGCACAGACCTCTGTGCAGCAATGCCAGGTGGCCAGAAAATGTGCTCCAGCCCAAAATCTGGCTGCCTTTCCCTGCTGGATGAATTATCTGTGAAAACCTCTCACGGCTTGCACAAAACAAGGTAATTATTCAGCAGGCGGGGGATACGCAGAGCCAGAGTATGAAATTATTATCTGTTAGTGATTTACAGAGAACCACAGACGGTGTCAAGGAACAGCAGCTGAATCAAACTTGCTCTGGCAACCTTGTGGCTCCCAAACGCTGCAGGCGACCCAGAGGGGCTGATGGGGAGCTCACACAGTACTGCTGTGCCTGGGGGGCTCAGTCTCCCCAGCACAGAGCCAGGTGCTCCATAAGGGGGAAGGATGTGCTTTAAGTAAAACCCTGAGATCTTGGGATGGCAGACACCATGATCCAGGGGAGACTTCTGCTGTCTTACACAGTAACCAGAGGTTTTTGGGGCACAAATAGATGTCCCTGCCCATGGCAGGGCATTAGAGAGAGATAATCTTTACAGCTCCTTCCAACCCAAACCCTTCCACAGTGAAAGGGTGCATCTGATAGATCTGAACAGCCTTCCAACCTCTGAAGGCTTGAAACTGCTTTGCTGCTGGTGCGGCTCTGCTGGAAAATCACCGAGGCAGTGGCTTTCCAAGCGTTTCTTCTCACACTTCCTTCAGTAGCAGCTTTACAAACTCTCTTCCTCAGCCAAATGCTTCTCCCTTGGCACCCGTGACTGCTCTGGCAGGTTTGTTGTTCACATTCTCAAACTGAACCATTCCTTTTCCTTCAGCCCCAGGTATTTGCCACTCCATGTCTCCCCCCCACCCCCCCCGTCCGATTTTTAGGTTTTAATTGACAGGATAAGGGGGGAATGGATTCAAACTAACAAAGGGTAGGGTTAGATGTTATGTTAGGAAAAAATTCTTCCCTGTGAGGGTGGTGGGGCCCTGGCACAGGTGCCCAGAGCAGCTGGGGCTGCCTCATCCCTGGCAGTGCCCAAGGCCAGGCTGGACCAGGCTCGGAGCAGCCGGGGACAGGGGAAGGTGGCCCTGCCATGGCAGGGGTGGCGCTGGGCGATCTCTGAGGTCGCTTCCAACTCACACCATTTCAGGATTCCATGATTTGCTGTAGCAGAGTGCAGGCGGCGCTGCCCTTCTCCAGGTGCGCTGCCAAACCCCAGAATCGGAGCATCCCCAGTCCTCCACCCCCTCATCCCCGCCCTGGAGCAGCGAGGAGGGGTTTGTTCCCTCCTGCTTCCCACCGACGGACATTTCCCAATCACAGCCCGGCATCCAGCACAATGCAACTCGTGGCATGAAATTAAGTATTTCTCCTACACACAGCACATTTGCCCGGTGATTAAAACGAGTCCCCGAGGTAGCCAAGCACAGCAGAATTCCGGTTCATTATGCACACCCACGCAGCCAAGCTAAAAACCCAAGACACTCCCCCAGTCCTTCTTGGGAAAGCCTGAGCAGCTCAGATTTCAGCTTCACCGCTTGCACCAGTCAGGACCGGGAATACTCTGTCATCTGGTGTAGGAAAAAAGGTAAGGATGGAAGTTTCCCAAAGATTTCAAGGTATCCCTTAAGGTCTGAGAAGGAGGGAAGGGTGTAGGAGCACAGGAACGTTGAGCAAACAGAGCAGATCACACAACTGTGAGTTCTTACTGCCTTTTGCTCGTTCTGTCTTGGATTTAGAATGAACTTTTAACAACAAAATGCCTTCATTTCCCCATTTCTCAAAGCACCTGTTTTGTGTCACGTTGTACAAAATGACAACTGCTTGATGAAAAAAAAACCCCAACAAGTTATTGCAGTGCACGATCTGTCCTTGCTGCAGCAGCTTGAGTCCAACCTCATTCCCAAACTGAAACGGGGCCAAATCTTTTCCGTATTCCCCCCTGGAGCTGCTCCCAACTGCGGTGCAAGCGCAGGGAGCTGCAGCTTGCCCTGGCCACGAAGGCCGACCCAGGCGTGACACAGCCACGGCTGCGCCGGGGACCTGCGGGTGAGCAGCTGCCGCTGCTGGAGGCAGCGTGAAGAGGAACACGTTCACATGAAGGCTTTCCTTGCCCTGCAAACACAACCTCCTGCCTCCTTCTCTCAAGCCTGCAGCCACAATATTCCCGCTATCCCTGCCCTGCTGGTGTCTCCAGCCCTCCCTGGAGTGCGTGGCTCTGCTCCTTCTCACCTCCATCTCAAGGCAGAGACGCCTTCTCCTCCTCCCCACGTTCCTCTGCTCTCTTCCTTCCTCCCTGCAGTGCTGACCCTCCTTCGCCACCTCCACAGAGACCTTCCCTCCCTGCAGCAGCTCATCTGCCCAGCCCAGCCCTACTGCAGCCTGCCATCCTCCTCCCCAGCCCTAACCAGCTCCGTCCCCTCTCCCAGGCCAGCCGTGCATCTCCCTTTCACCTTGCTCTGCTCTAGCGCTGCCACCACCCTGCACCCTGCCCTCAGCCCTTTCTTCAGCCCAGCCCAGCCCAGCCCAGCCTGTTCCCCTGGCCATGTCCTGCCCAGTCCAGCCCACGTTCTCCAGCCGTGTCTGGCCCTGTCCGGCCCAGTCCAGTCCAGCCCAAGCTCCCTGACCTTGTCCGGCCCAGGTTCCCCAGTCCAGTCCAGCACTGTCCAGGCCAGGCTCCCCAACCCTGTCTGGCTCGGTCCAGCCCAGTTCAGCCCAAGCTCCCTGACCCAGTCCGGCCCAGGTTCCCCAGTCCAGTCCGGTCCAGGTGGATGTAGTCCGGTCCAGGTGGATGTAGTCCGGTCCAGTCCAGCCCAGGTTCCCCACTCCAGTCTGGCCCAGCCCAGGTTCCCCAGTCCGGTCTGGTCCGGTCTGGCCCAGGTTCCCTACTCCAGTCCGTCTCAATCCAGTCCGGTCTGGCCCGGTCTGGCCCAGTCCAGCCCAGGTTCCCACTCCAGTCCGTCCCAATCCAGTCCGGTCTGTCCCAGGCGCCCCGGCCCGGCCCCGCCCCCGTTCCCCCCCCCCGACCCGGCCCCGCCCCCTTTTTCACAGTCCCCGCCCCTTCTCCACGCGCGATCTCGCGCGACCTCCCCCGCGCGCCGCGTCACGCGGGGCCGAGAGGCTGCGTCACCGCGCCCCCGTGACGTCACCGATACCCCGGAGCGCCCCGCCCCGCAGCTGTGAGTGACGGCAGGCGCACCAATAGAAAGCGGCAGAGGCGTGAATGACGCGGCGCGCGGCCAATGGGCGGCGGGAGGGGGCGGGGCCGCGGGCCGGGCGGGCGGGCCGGCCGCGCCTGCCGGCGGGGCGGCGGGATGGCGGCGCTGTACGCCTGCACCAAGTGCCACCAGCGCTTCCCCTTCGAGGCGCTCAGCCAGGGCCAGCAGCTCTGCAAGGTTCAGGAGAGGGGCTGCGCTGTGGGGGGGCTGTGGGGGAAGGTCTGCGAGGGAGCTGATGGGAGAGGAGGTTGAGGGGGGCTGTAAGGGAAATGGGGGGTGATCTGTGAGGAGATTTGAAGGGGTTGGTCTGTGCGAGGGTTTGTGGGGTCTGAGGTGTAAAGGGCCTCCTGGAGCATTGCATGCGAGGGAGAGCAAGCAAGGGAATGTTTTTAAGGGATCTTGAGGCTCTTAGAGAAATTGGGGATAACTGGGGGCCTGTTTTTTGGGAGATCCTGGGAGTAGTTATGAAGACTGGAGCCTTGAGGTGTGTGTTTGGGGTCTGTGAGTGAGCGGTGGGAGGGTGTGGATGAGGACCTGGGAGCTCTGGGGAGGTGTTGAGGGGCTGGAGCATGGGGCTAAAGCCTAGGGGCTGTTTGGGGGATATGTGAAGGACTGTTCAGGGGAGCTGTTTGTCAGGGGGACCCGAGGGCACTGAAGGCAGTTTGGAGGTGCTGGGGGTGTTTGGAGGGTATTGGACTGGAAGTCATGGGGTTGTTGAGGGGAATAGAGGGGACGTGGGAGCTGTTCCTGAGCAAAGGCCTGGGAGGATCTGGCCATGTCTGTAGGAAGCCTGATGGTATTGTGAAAGGAGTAAGGTGGGTTTTGGGGTGGGGAAGGACAATATCAGGGATGAAACAGGGAACACGGGGCAGGAGCTGGAGCAGCCTGGGATCACTGAGGCTGGGACGTAGGGGAAGCTGGGATGAGGGTAGAGCGTGGCCAGATGTGCAGGAAAGTGGTGAATAGCTGAGGCAGAGCTGTGTGCTCCTGCCCTGGGAGCTGGGGCCACCCCTGACCCTGGTCGACGGGTGTGAGGCACAAACGAGCCCTGGCTTGGTTCCTGCATGGCTCACCTGTGACACACAGCATTCCCATCACCCTTCCTCTTCTCTCAGCATGACTGGACAGGGAGGAAGTGTTTGCAAGTGTGTGGATATGGTGGGAGTGGAGGGCAGTGGGAGATCTGGGATTTGGGGAGCAGCACTGCACCTCGTGAAACACCTCTGTTGTTGCAGGAGTGCCGGATTGCTCATCCCATTGTTAAATGCACTTACTGCAGAACTGAATTCCAGCAGGAAAGGTAAATGCTTGCTGAACTGGGGAGATCCAGGTTTTGTGTAGAATGGTCACACCGGGAACTGTAATGCTTCCACACCTCCAGTGGTGGAGCCTTAACCTGTAGATTGTTGCTGTGGAGGACTTGGGAGACCTTTGGCCACCTCCAAAGGTCTGCTGGGCGAGTTGGAGTGTCTGAAGTGCACTTGGATTAAACCTTTTGCTTGGGTTTTTTTTTCAGTTAGAGCTCAGATGCATCTTCCCATGAGTTTTCCTCTTGCCTGATGTCTGTCATCCAACATTTATTTCCTGCTGTGTGTCCTTTAGCTGGGCTCTTGTCTTTTTGCATTTTATCAGCTTGTGTAGCTGTCAGAGGGAGGATTGGTGAACCCAGAGCTGTGTGTGGCCGTTGTGTGAGGTGTTCCTTCCTGTGTTTGTTGCACAAATACACCTCTGCCCTCTCCTGCCATGACCTCCATAGTGGAGCCTGCCCTGATGCTGAATCACTCATGCTGCTAATTAGTGATTAAATCCTGTGTTTGTCTGGACAAAAACTGGGTGTCATCTGGGGATGCCTTAATTAAAAGACACCTCCTAGTAATTTTTGGCCATCTATCCTCAGCCAGATGGGGATAGGAAAAGCATTTTGGTATCTGAGTTGCTAGAGAGGTTGAATCCAGCCTCATCAGCAGAGACAGAGCCGAGGGGAGGCTGGGATCCTAAGCAGGAATCCTAAACACAGAGGTTTCATTTCTGTTGGAATGTGTTAATAGAATGATCTGTCCTTCTTAACAGCAAAACCAACACGATATGCAAGAAGTGTGCTCAGAACGTGAAGCTCTACGGCACAGTAAGTGAGAGGGGCTCAGCCTCCCCAGCCTCTTTTCCTTTCATCTCTCTTGTCTTTATCCTGCTGAAATCTCAGAGCAATTTGTGGACTGGCTCAGCTGTAAGAGCATGACTGATCAATAATATGGGTCACTCAAGCATAAAGCTTTGACTTTTTCTATTCTTTTAGCACAAAAAAGAGCTTTACGTTGTTTGAGACCAGGAAATTATCTGTTTGATACCCAGTAGAAACAAGACTGTGCTTACACAGACTTAGGATTGCTGCAGGAAGCAGTGATAAATCTTTATTTCCTGCTTGTCTGAAATCTGAAATAGACATTTTGATTTGTTCTATTTTGTTGTTTTTTCTAAAGATTTCACAGCATTTGATAAATGGTCTGAGTGCCATGGCTAAATACACTTAGCTGGAGACCAGGGATCCAAATGGAGTTTCGTCTCCTGGATCAGCATTATACTCTGTGTAGAATAAGGAAATAAAAGTTTGAAATTATGGGAAGAATGGGAACTAGCAGTGTACTACTGTAGTTAGAAGGCTGTAGCAGTTGTTCTTATTTTTTAAAGCCAAAACCCTGCCAGTACTGCAACATCATAGCAGCATTTATTGGAAACAAGTGCCAGCGTTGCACCAACTCAGAGAAGAAGTATGGCCCTCCTCACTCGTGTGAGCAGTGCAAGCAGCAGTGCGCATTTGACCGCAAGGATGACAGGAAGAAGGTCAGTATTGGTGTTAAAGAAGGCTGAAAAGGTAAAAGGGCTGATCACAGTGATCCTCTTCTTTACATCTTCTGCAGCATTTCTGACAGTACAAGGAGGGAAGGCTTCCCATTGCTAGATGGCAGGGTAAGATGGAATACTGGGGAGAAGTTCCTCCCTGTGAGGGTGGTGAGGCTCTGGCACAGGCTACCCAGAGCAGCTGTGGCTGCCCCATCCCTGGCAGTGCCCAAGGCCAGGCTGGACAGGGCTTGGAGCAGCAGGGGACAGTGGAAGGTGTCCCTGCCCAGGGACTGGCAGGGGGTGGGACTGGGTGAGCTTTAAGGTCACTTTCAACCCAAACCATTCCATGATCCTTGTCTCTTGGTTATGAAGTGTTTTCTAGAGTTGAACTTTGCTCTGGTTTAGAGCTCTTTAATCTTTGAAGCCCTGTGTGCCTCTGCCAGATCTTCTAAGATCTCTTGAATTTGGCCCAAGAGCTGGCAGAGGAGCAGAGACCTCTGAATGAAGTGTGAGGTGCTGTTTGGGAAGGGGGATGGGGAATGATATTTGTTCCATAGCCTGAGGAGCTACAAGTGTCTCATACCTCCACCAGGAAACCCCTTCCATGGCTTCTGTACACCCTTTGCTTAAACACCCTGAGTGCTCTGTAGGAGGTGTGTCTTCTCGAGGCAAACTGCAAACATCTGTTGTTTGGAATGCTGCACCCATAATCGGTGCCCTGCTGAGCCTCCTGGAGCAGTCACCTTGCTGTTTTGGTCTCCAGTGACTGCCTGTCCATTCAGAGGATTATTTTTGAGTCCCTGCTTGTTCACCTGTAACCCTAAACTTGAAAGTGTCTCTTGTCTTTTCTGTATTTGCTTTGTGGGCAGGAAAAAAGACCAAAACTTCTTTCTGTCTCCCCTTCCAGGTGGATGGAAAGCTGCTGTGCTGGTTGTGCACACTGTCCTATAAGAGAGTCCTGCAGAAGACCAAGGAGCAGTGTAAACACCTGAGCAGCTCTTCACGAGCCAGTCTGCAGGAGAAGGAGCAGTTCAGTAGGCTCAGCAGTGGCAGCCACTATAATAGGTAACCTTGGAGAGGGGTTTGGGCAGGGTCTGAGTTCAGGGCAATCTGGCTAAGTCACACTGTTTGTTTGCAAACCTCACTGTGCTGGTACAGCCTTATGCTTCTTAGTGATCCAACTTACCGAACTTGTACACTATGAAAGCGAAGTTGCATTTGTAAAATTTAATTATTAAAATGCAGATTTTAAGCAGGAGTTCTTCACCTACATGCTGCTCTGACTCATTGTTTTCTGTTTATTTTTAGTCTCCAGCTACTCTTCAAGGAATGATTTTTTTATCGTTTTAGCACTGGGAAATACTGTTTTAATAGATCAAAGTGGGTGGGAATATTTATCTGCTTCTCTGTCTT